CTCTCAAAGAAATCATAATTGAAGTTTCTATTGTCATAATAAGATTCATGCTCATTCAAAGACATATGCATTTTAACTAAACTGACACTACAATGCATTTGAGACCTCATCATTCCATTTATCTTTTCAACCTATAACCAATGTGGAGCTGTTTCTTGGGTTGAGTAAGCAAGCTTGTTTGGAATATTCTAGAGTGTCCTTATGCAGACGTGCAACCAGATGTGACACATTTTTACGAATTCCTAGAAGACAAAGCTGTAAACCAATGGGTTTTGAGAGATGTTTTAATTTATACCTGTCATGGAATTATTGTAGTTATTAAGTTATGGTCTATATTCAATATTAAAATTTTATTGTTAATGAATTTTCCTGATTTTCTATTTTGCGGCTGCTGTCTGCCATCATTTTCTCTGCTCTATGCTGGAGAACAGACACTAAGACAGTGATGAAGCATTTAAATTGACTCCACACTGAATGTTGAAGGGAGAATATTTAAACAATACTAAGTTACTGTGTTCGTGGGATTGCTGGAAAAGTTGTAGAAGGTCCTGGGCCCAGTTTCTATAATCTTCCTCTCACCGGATGGGCAGACAGGGGCATTGATTGGTCTTATATCTTATCTTTTTCTTTTTTCTTTTTATTTAAATTAGAAACAAGCTTGCTTTACATGTCAACCCCAGGTCCCTCTCTCTCCCCTCCTCAGTCCCCCTCAGCCCCCCAAGCCCCCAACCCAATCCCCACTCTGTTCTTCAGGGAGGGTAAGGCCCTCCATGGGGGAATCTCTAGAGTCCACCATTTCATTCAAGGCAGGACCTAGGCTCTCCCCCGAGAGTCCAGGATGAGATAGCATCCCTCATTGTGGAATGGGCACCCAAAGTCCATTTGTATGCCAGGGATAAGTACTGATCTACTACTCAAGGTCCTATAGATTGCCTAGGCCTCCTCACTTACACCCACATTCAAGGGGTCTGGATCAGTACCATGCTGGCCTCTCAGCCATCAGTCTGGGGTCCAAGAGCTCACCATTGTTCAGGTTAGCTGTTTCTTTGGGTTTTATCAGCCCAGTCTTGACCCCTTTGCTCATCAATCCTCCCTCCCTGTCACTGGATTCCAGGAGTTCTATCTTTTTCTTTAATGGTTAACTAACTATTTAAAAATCAGGAAGAGGCTGGAGAGCTAGTGTTGCTGGCCAATTGATAACTGTGTATGTGTGAGGCCCCAAGTTTTGATCCTAGAAGCCACATAAAGGTCTAATAGGCACAGGAGTGCTTCTACAATTACAGTGTTGGACCAAACTGATTTCACAGACCAGCTGAAATGGTAAGCACTGGGTCTGCTCAAGATGTCACTTTATAATATTGATATATGGTGGAGAGCAACTGAGGAAGACACTTAATGTCAACCCAAGGCGTCTAGCCACACTTGCACACATGTGTACAGGCACCTACTCACATGTATGAGTACGCATGCATGTATGCATATCACACACACATACACACACACACATACACACACACACACATACACACACACACACACACAGAGCAAAACCCAACCAACCAACCAGCAAAACAAAACAAAACCAAAAATGTCAAAATGCAGACCAGTATCCTGTTTGTTTCCTTATGCTCTGCTGGGACTGTTTAGTCATGCGATCTGAGTGCTATGCTCAATATTCAGGACTTGATGTTACAACTGATGTCACATTTTCTTTACCCTGTGGGTTGGGATAAAACAAACCACTTGCTTGTAGAGTCATTTCCCTCATGGTTAAAGAACTAGTTAAAATACTAGTGCAGTGTTGGTCAGTTAAAGATCAACTTAACTGGGTCAGGTTCCTAAATATTTGGCCAGGTGTCATTCTTGATGTTTCAGTGATGGCACTTTTTAAGATGAGATCATCAGCTACATAAGTGGTAACATTGCAAGGATGGTCCAATTAGTTAAAGACCTGCACAGGACAAAGACTAATGTCCCTGGAGCAAAAAGGAAGTCTGCCAGCACACTGTCTTCACAGTGGAATTGCAGCCCTTTCCTGGGCTTTCCTCCAGCCTCTCTAATCAAACAGAATCTGCAAGCCTTTCTGGCTCTGTGAGCAATTTCTTAAAGTAAATCTCGGTAAGTATGTTAATATACATCTTGTTTGCTCTGATTCTCTGGAGAACTCCACTATACTGAGACACTCCAAAAGACATGATTAAACTCTAATTTCCATTTGTGTGTTTATGTATTCTTGAGATGCAGGCAATTTGTAGGATTTTATATTTATAGATAAAAGTAGACAATTTTCAAATGCTATACAATTAAAAGGCCAGCTCTCTACTGATAAATCTAATTATGGATAATAGTAAGGTGCTAACTTTTCTGATAATTCTACAATCCAGCGACTTAACTTTTTTTTTTATTTTATTTTCCAGTTTAAATTTAGATAAGAATCAAGGTTGCTTCACAAGTCAGTTCCAGGTCCCTCTCCCATTCCCTCCCTTCCTCCCGTGCCCTCCCCCCCCCCCCGTTATCCCCTCATTTCTCCAGGGAGGGTGAGGCCCTCCATGGGGGTGTCCATAGTGTGTCATTTCATATAGGGCAGGGCCTAGACCCTTTCCCAAGAGTTCAGGGTGAGAGTGCACCTCACATTGTTCTATTGGAGTCTAAAGTCCGTGTGTATACTTGGGATGGGTACTGATCTGCTGCCCAAGGCTCAATAGAATCCCTAGGCCTCTTCACTGACACCCAGATTCAGGGGGGTCTTGATCAGTCCCATGCTGGCTTCCCAGGCTAATGCCTGGGATTCAAGAGTTAACCTTTGTCTGGTCAGCTGTTTCTGGCGACTTAACTTTTCTAGGAGAAAAATCTCAAAATGATAGTTTCTAACATTTATAAAACCTGCTACCACATAAATGTTAAAAGTATGTTTTCACATAGTAAGCATAGTAGTGTCTTAAATATATTCTGTCACACTTATGAAAGGAAATTCCCTCCTACCTGTTTTCACTGGGAATTGTCTCCACAAAATCGACGTGTACTTGAAATCAAGAGTATGTGGATCCCCGCGTTGGACAGAAAATAGTTTATCAGCAATAGCACACATGCTAGATCTGAAATTCTCCCAACTGACTTAAATTGACTGAGGCAAACATGGGGAAATGTGGTGATTTTAATAAAATCTTTTTGTATGTGTTGATAAGTATGCTGAGATGATTTGCATGTGCATGTACGTGTGGGAAGGAGAAGGACAGGGACATCTCTCCCCTCTGTCTTTCCTTGCCTGATTGCTTTGAGGCAGTGTCTACCTCTGAGCCAGCGGGCAGTGCTTTTAGTAGATTGTCATCCAGTAAGCTGCAGTGTCTCTCTGTTTCCCCAGCTCAACTCTACAGCACTGGAATTAGAGGTGTGCACAACACCACATCTGGCTTTTATTCATGTGTTAGGGATTTGACTCTGGTCCTCATCCTTCTGAAGCAAGTGTTCTTAATACCTGGGCCATCTCTCCAGCCCAGATTTTAAGCTTTGCTACTTCTTCTCATGTATGCATTTTTTAAAATTAAAGTTATAAAACAATATAAGTCACGCCGAGGATGTTCTTCAGAGGCAAGGACTCTTAATGACTGTATTTCAGGACTTTCATGTCCTACCTCTTTAGCTGCGCATTGTAGATTTTGTGGGTGATCTGAGGTATCTCCATTTATCAAAACCTAGCACACAAAATTTCCCATACACATCTAGCTCTGGAGGACATGGAAGTAGCCGAGATGGTTGTGGTTATGAATTGATAAGGAAAATGGGCTGAGGTCTTGAGTTTACCTATGACAGAAGCAGGCTTGTATAATGATGTAGTTAACTGAGAAGTAACTAGACAGACTAGGAGGAAAATCCCCAGTGTTACTATGTTGGAGAGAAATATACATTTCTCCTGACAATGGTCCAGTTCTGCTGAGTACATGTCTGGGATCTGACCTCGAGTTTAGCTATTTCACCTCTCCTACTTAAATATAAGCAGGCACCATCACTTTTCCCTTCCTCTTGTTATCCTTTTTTTGTTTTTTCCCTGCACCATTTCCAGGTTGGCCTGACAGATTGACAGTTACCAGCACTAGACCCTCAAGGCTCAGCCTGTCTCCCAGCACCTGAGAAGCAGAATTGAATCAGAGACAAGTTTTCTGAAAGTCAAGTATTGGAGCAGGCTTGGTAATTGATGAAAATCTACAATTGAAAATGTGACTTTCCCCCATACACATTCATCATTTTAAAGGCTAGTTTGCTGTTTAAAACATTTAAGACCATATTATTAATCTATTGACTTCGCTGCTGAAATTTGAAAGTTTCTCTTCACAAATTGACACATCGAAGTCAAGTAATAAGCTCACCCATCCCTGTAAGTACAGTAGGATCTGGGAGACAGGAAGATTATCACCAGTTGAGTGCCAGCCTTGGCTACAGAGAGTATTCTAGGCCTACCTGACTAGAGAGTGGAACACTGTTTCAAACAAAACCAAAATAAAACAAGAGACAACAGATGGAATGGAATTAATATTTTAGAACTAAGTGCACAAGTAGGTATTTTGCAAGTATTCCTTAAATTAGTTTGGTTCTGAATTATCCATTATTCCTAGTCTTCCTAAACTCCACATGAACAAGAGCCAATCAAGTAATTTGTAGTAGCAATTTTGCTTTTCTTTCTGCCATTCAGGCAGGGAAAGCCTCAGGGTCTACACCCATTTCCTTTTTCTATTTTTTATTTTTATTTAAATTAGAAACCAGCTTGCTTCATATGTCAATCCCAGCTCCCTCTCCCTCCCCTTCTCCCCCACTCCCAACCAGGCTCCCCAGCCCCCACCCATTCCACACACCATTCCCCAGGGAAGGTGAGGCCCTCCATGGGGAATCTCCAGAGTCTGTAGTTTCGATCAGGGCAAGTTCTAGGTCCTCCCCCAAAAGTCCAGGCTGGGAGAACATCCCTCATTGTGGGATGGGTACCCAAAGTCCATTTGTATTCCAGAGATAAAAATATGGAACGCTTTATGAATTTCCATGTCATCCTTGCGCAGGGAGCATGCTAATATTCTATGTATCATTCCAGTTTTAGGAGATGTATGTGCTGCTGAAGTGAGCACCATTTCTTCTCTTTGAGATATGCTAACGATGAAAAAAAACCTGACTCCAATTGACACACACTGAAACAGTCTATATGACCATATCTCTCTTGGTCTTTGTCAACTACTTCAAAAATTCAGTTTATTCAGGGGCCCACTTATCTCTGACATGTAGTCGATGTGATAGAAATATTATGCATTATAATTTTACTAAGTCCTAATGAAGCTTTTTTTTGTAAGTAGGCGTATGATGGTGCAAGTTATCTTATGGGCATGGTATTAGTCTGTTCAGGGGTAATAACAGTTTGTCCTCTTAACAGAATTAATTTCTCTCTACCAAAAGTGATTTCATGGTACTAACCTTTAATAATGCTTTTTATTATTACAAGATACTACAATGAAATGGATTAAGAGAGAAAAAATAAAATCAAAACAAAATAAAAACCTTACTATGGATTCATTCTCTATTAAATATCCTCAATAATATAAAGCTACTCAAACTTCCATGTTGGTGCTATGCTTTTACAAACATAATTTAATAAATTATAGCCCTCAGAGCATCAATCAATAACTCCATAATTTTACTAAATAAATATTGTTAACATACATAGGCTTGTTAAGAATATATATCCACTTAACTATTATGTTTTATTGGTGGACTAAAATTAGTTGATGAAAAATAATTTTCTCTCTTTAGTAAGAAAAGGGCAGGCACGTTTTTCCATATGATGGTGGCAGGAAATAGCATAGTCTCTAAACAGTTTTCAGTTCCATTCTGACTTACTCTCCTCTCATGTAGGTAAGGACTTGTCAGGAATCCTTAGGATCTTACTTTATCTTGTATTAATCACATACAGTAGCCCAGGTTATGAAGCAGCCACTAGTGGTCTCTGAGCATGTCTGTGGTCTGTGGCAATGGTCCCTTCTGATGCCTCCTGTCACAATGTCCACTCTTTAAGTTGTTGGGAGTGTGATGCTCCAAAGTAGTTGCCATAGTTACACCTAACAGTTTCCTGTGTTTGCTGGACTGAGAATGCAGTGTGGCATTCCTTAGAAAATCAGTTAAACATGCTGCCATTTTTAAAAACTACACTAAGTTTTGATAAACATCAAGAGATATGTACTTTAAACTGCATTTTGTTTATGTAATAAGACTATTAATGTAAATACTGAATTCTGTGAAATGTCACTCTATGATACACTGTTTGCAATTGTGGCATTTAATTCATAGTTAGTAATGATATGTGTCTCAAAGTAGGTCACATTATACCATCCTTATTACTGTTTTAAATATATTGGAAATAAATATATCGAAACACTTCTAACTTTATGATAACTTATTAAATTGCTTCAGCATTGTTGGTATTGCTAACTTCACAGTTAAGATTATAATCATACACATGCATGTTCTTAGAGTTTGGTCCCTAATTAGAGTGAGTTTTGTTGTTAGTAGCACCAACAGGGACAATTACCATCTATCAACATGTACTATGTATTGGATCCTGTGCTGACATTGCTGACACTATCCCGTTTAATGTTCACAAAGTCTGCTTCCCTTTGGACACAAGGAAAATTAAATACAAAGAAGAAAAATAGTTTAAAGGCAACAAGAGCAAATCAGAGATTTCTAACCAGGAATTTCTGAGACCAAAGCATTGGACCAAATGTCATTTTACATTTTGAAGATAACTACAGTGAAGAGAATCTGAGGTGGTTGAAAAGAAGGTTGGGCGGGAAATTATTTGCCAAGAATCTCTTTGAAGCATTGGTGTGTGTGTGTGTGTGTGTGTGTGTGTGTGTGTGTGTGCGTGTGTGTGTGTGTGTGTGTTGTGTGTGTTTGTGGTGTGTGTGTGTGTGTGTGCGTGTGTGTTTGTGTGTTTATGTTTGACTGTGAGAGAACCACAGGTGTGTCTCCTGTCCTGGTTAGTTTGATGTCAACTTGACCCAAGCTAGAGATGTCAGAGAGGAGGAAGCCTCAACTGAAAAACAAATGTCTCTGTTAGAATGGACTGTAGACAAGCTGTAAGCTTGTGGGACATTTTCTTAATTAGTGATTGATGCGGGAGGGCCCAGCCCATTGTGGGTTTTGGGTTTGATGGGCTGGTGGTCCTCGGTTTTATGAGACAGCAGTCTGAGTAAGCCATGGGAAGCAAACCAGTAAGCAGCACCCCTCGCTGACCTCTGCATAAGCTCTTGCCTCCAGGTTCCTGCCTTCCTCAGTTCCTGACCTCACTGCTTTTGATGAGCTGTTTTATGAAACTGTGTGGGAGATAAACATTTTCCTCCCCAAGTAGATTTTGTCATGGTGTTTCATCACAGCAATAGCAAACCCAAGACAGTGTCTACCTTGCTTTATAAGATGGGTTCTCTCATTGACTTAAGACTCTCGAAGTAGCCTAGGCTGTTCTGCTGATTGTCCCCAGATTCCTATCTTCACTTCCCCAACACTGGTGTTACAAGCCTTACCTGCTTATTATTAAATATTTATTTATTTTATGTATATGAGTGACTGTCTTCATGAGCACCAGAAGAGGAAATCAGACCCAACTACAAATGGGGTTGTGAGCCACCACGTGGTTGCTGTGATTTGAACCTAGGTCCTCTAGAAGAACAGTCAGTGTTCTTAACCATAGAGCCATCTCTCCAGACCACTTATTACTATTTTTAAGGTAGGTGCTGGAAATGGGACTTGGACTTAGTCCTTGTGCCTGTACTACAAGCACTTCACTGAAAGAACTATCTCCCGAGGCTGCATTGGCTCTTAAAGTTGACCCTAAATCACACCAATGATTGTCCTATACTAAGGATACAATTTAGAATTCAAAAAGAAATCCCCAGGTTTCAAGATTCTCTTCCTGGGTGTGTGGGTTAGTTTTTGTCAGCTCTCCCCAAACTAAACTCACCTTTGAAGAAGAAACTCAATTGAGGAATTGTCTCAATGAGGTTGGCCTGTGGATGTGTCTGTAGGGCATTTTCTTGAATAATGATTGATGTGTAAGAGCCCAGATCACTGTGGGCAATATCACCTTTGGGCAAGTGGTCCTGGGTTGTATAAGAAATTTGTAGGCAAATGGACAGCACTAGAAGAAACCATCCTGAGTGAGGTAACCAAGTCACAAAAAGACAAACATGAATCTTCATCCAGTGACTGATGGAAGCAGAGGCAGACACACACAGCTAAACACTGAAAGGAACTCCTGGAATCCAGTTACAGAGAGGGAGGAATGATAAGCAAAGGGGTCAAGACTGGGCTGGTTTAACCCACAGAAACAGCTGACCTGAACAAGGGGAGCTCTTTGACCCCAGACTGATGACTGAGAGGCCAGCATGGGACTGATCCAGACTCCCTGAATGTGGGTGTAACTGAGGAGGCCTAGGTAATTTATGGGGCTTTGGGTAGTAGATCAGTATTTATCCTGGCATAAAATGGACTTTGGGTGCCCATCCCACAATGAGGGATGCTTACTCATCCTGGAATCTCGGGGGAGAGCCTAGGTCCTGCCCTGAACGAAATGACAGACTCTGGAGATCCTCCATGGAGGGCCTCACCCTCCCTGGGGAATGGAGTGGGGATTGGGTGGGGGGCTGGGAGGAGATGGTGGGAGGGCAGGAGAGGAGGAGACGGAGAGGGAGCTGGGATTGACATGTGAAGCAAACTTGTTTCTAATTTAAATAAAAATAAAAAGAAAGCTGGTTGGGTAAGTCATGGAACTGAGGCCAGTAGCAGCATTCTTCATGCCTCTGGGGTAAGTCCCTCACACCAGTTAGACTGTAACCTGTAAGACTTAATAAACACTTTCCTTTCCAGGCTTGTTTTCGTCATTGTTTTATCATAGCAACAGAGAAGCAAACTGATGAACTGGACCTCTGAGTGAGGTGAGTGCCATTTTGCTGCATGATGATGACCCTGAAGTTTCAGGATAAGAGGTTCCACAGTGATTATAAAAGAATGTTTCCCTTTTTTTCTTTATGCAAGTTTCTTTGTTGTCGTTTATTTTAAGAGGGAGGAAGGATTGTAGGAGTCAGAGGGGTCAAGTTATCACAATGGAAACCACTAAAGCAACTAACCTGGGTTAATAAGCATTCACACACTCTGGACAGCCATCCAGAGAGCCTGCATGGGACCAACCTAGCCATTCTGCATGTGTGTGACAGTTATGTCACTTGGTCTGTTTGTGAGCCTGCTAGCAGTGGGATCAGTGCCTGTCCCTAACATTTGAGCTGGCTTTTGGAAACTTATTCCCCTTGCTGGGTTGCCTTGCCTAGTCTTAATACAAAGGGAGGTGCTTAGTCCTGGTTCAACTTGATATTCCATGCTTTGTTCATACCCATAGGAGGCCTGCCCCTTTCTGAACAGAAACAGAAGAGGAGTGGATGGGGAAGGGGGCAGAGGTTAGGCAGGGGAACCTGTGATTGGGATGTAAAATACATGAAAAATTTAATTAAAAAATTGAAAAAGTTTATATTTTGATTACACTTCTCCTTCCCTTTTCTCTCTCCAAACCCTCCTATATATCCCTCCTGACTCTCCTTCAAATTCATGCCCTTTTTTTCATCAATTGTTGCTGCATACATATATAGTGATACTTGTGCTTATGCTTTCAGATCTGACTTTTTGGCACTGGACAATCAATTGGTGTCCCTTCCCCTGGGGAGAGCTACATCTTCTCCTCCCAACTTTCCTCAGTTACATGTAGTTCTTTGTGTAGGGGTGAGGTCTTCTGGGCTTTTCCCTGTACAGTTCAGCATGTTTATTCAGCTCACATTTGGGTAGTCATGTTGGTGAGATTTTATGGTGTAGCTCTTGTTACTAGGAGACAAAGATCTCCTTGATCTTCTGGCTCTTATAATCATTTTGGCCCCTTTTCTAAAATGTCACCTGTACCTTAGGTATGGCAGTGTTTTGTAGATGAGTCAATTGGGGTTGGGTTCCACAATTCTGCATTATGATTGGTTGTGGTTTTCTGTATTGGTTTTCATATGTTGCAAAGAGAACTTTCATTGATGAGAGATGAAGACTA